GTAGTAAAAATTTTTGTTTATTCCGCTGCGTTTTTCTGCCCGAAACCCAACACAAATATCGAGTTTGAGAATGAGTGTGAGGATGTAAGTTGTCACAAAAATGGACAAATGTGTGTGATATAAATGATAATGTTCATACTGGGAATGAAAATGACAATGTAAATGATGGTAATGAGAATGAACATCTTTGGGGTGAGAAAGAAATTGTAGATGGTATATTGTTATGTTGAATAAAACATATTCAAGTGAAACATCTATATGATTGTTTAGGGCCTCATAATTGCTCCAGGTGCCCCTGATTTTGAGCACGATAACCATTAATGATAACCCCTTTTAAATTGGGAACCGATATATAAATTAGAAATTTTAATCCGCACCTTTAATATTTCAAAAGGGTTAGAATCAATAAGGTGACATTTTTGTAGTAATTTCACAATATTTACATAAATGTATAAAGCCCTCTTTTGAATTTTGATTAATTACACAAAGTGCCACATGCGCATCGTAATCACGGATTGAATAAAATGAAAGGTTACGTTTAGATCAAAAGTTCTTATCATAAGAAGTTCTCATTTTAAGTAGGGTTCTCACTCAAACTCCTTATATAGGTAATATATTTATAATGTATATGTATGTGTAGGATCCATTTCCGATGAGAACATTTTTTATCATGGAAACAAAGATGATCTAAAAAATGTACATTAGTGTTCACGAAGGTGCACATTTATAGTTAAAATAATGCAAAGTTCAAACATGCTTACTTGTAATTAAAATAATGCAATGTTCAAACACACATTTTCTAACTTATGATAGTGCACATGCATTGATAATCAAATTCAACGATGCAAAATCATTCTCATGTTCTCAATTAACAACCAGCTTCTCAATTAATCCTAAAAATTCAATCATTTAACTCATAACAAACTAATATCAAAATATCAAATAAGTGACTGTATTTACAAATATCATTTCTTAGATGTTCCCCTGCAGAAAAAAATCATTTATTAGATGATTCAATATTTGTTTTTTATATAAGCCGCGATTTTTGGTAGAAAAATAGCCTAGTGTTATTAAAAATGTTTCTAAAGTACATATTAGGGTTCCTATTATTCATATTAGGAGTATTATTTAAAATTATTTTCCAAAGATTTGGGAAGCTGGTTGTTAAGGATGCTTTTACTTGGACTGTAATTTGCTGGTCTGGCCTGGTCTGATCTGGTCTGGTCTTGTCTGGTAATGCCCGGTTTCTTTGTATTCTTATAACTATCCAAGACTGGTCTGGTCTGTTCTAGTCTAGTCTGAACTGGTCTGGTCTGATAATGTCTGATTTCTTTGTATTTTTAAAACTATCCAAATCTGATATGGTCTGTTCTAGTCTAGTCTGGTTTGGTTTGGGAGAGATTAAGGTCCAAGTAAAATCATCTAACTCGTTAATTAAAATGCTTAATTGCCTGTATCCATTCAGCCATCACTGCACTTCTTTGATTTCAGCTACTCTTCTACTCATGGCCTCCTCCATCAACCCCACCCATCTATCTACTCTCACTCAACCACTGGAGAAGGTCTGTACCCGCTTCTCATCCAAAATCCTACAAAATCCCCGCCGCCGCCTCCCCGCCACTACAAAAAATTCCACTGTCAATGCGGCGGCGGCGGCATCTAAGTATCCGATTTCCAACACCGGATTTCAAAAAGATGTACATACCGTGGATTCCTTCGGTTCATACTTCAATGACGAGGGTCACAGCGACCATCTCCGGGAAGAGTGCGGCGTTGTAGGAATCTACGGCGACCCGGAGGCCTCCCGCCTCTGCTATCTAGCTCTCCACGCCCTCCAACACCGCGGTCAGGAAGGAGCCGGCATCGTCGCCGTCCACGACAACGTTCTTCAACACATCACAGGCGTCGGATTGGTCTCAGACGTCTTCACCGAATCCAAACTCGACCAGCTTCCCGGTGAAGTGGCCATCGGACATGTCAGGTACTCTACCGCCGGCTCCTCGATGCTTAAAAACGTTCAACCGTTTGTCGCGAGCTGTAGGTTTGGTTCAGTCGGGGTGGCTCACAATGGCAATTTAGTAAATTACGAAGCCCTGCGTGCGACCCTAGAGGAAAACGGGTCAATTTTCAATACGACCTCAGACACAGAGGTGATTCTTCACCTCATTGCTATATCAAAGGCCAGACCTTTCATTCTTAGAATTGTAGAAGCATGTGAGAAGCTCGAGGGAGCCTATTCTTTGGTGTTTGTGACAGAAGATAAACTAGTAGCGGTTAGAGACCCTTTAGGATTTAGACCATTAGTAATGGGTAGAAGGAGAAACGGGGCCATAGTTTTCGCTTCCGAAACATGCGCTTTAGACCTAATTGAGGCCACATATGAGCGTGAGGTTCATCCCGGTGAAGTTGTGGTGGTTGATAAAGAAGGGGTTCACTCACTATGCTTGATGTCTCGCCCAGAGTCCTCCAAATCATGCATCTTTGAGCACATTTACTTCGCTCTCCCAAATTCTGTCGTTTTTGGGAGGTCTGTTTATGAATCTAGACACAAATTCGGACAGATACTGGCAATTGAATCCCCCGTAGAATGTGATGTTGTGATTGCGGTCCCCGATTCCGGAGTTGTGGCTGCACTAGGTTACGCTGCTGAAGCGCGGGTCCCGTTCCAACAAGGGCTAATAAGGTCACATTATGTTGGTAGAACCTTCATTGAGCCGTCACAAAAGATTAGAGATTTTGGGGTGAAACTCAAGCTCTCGCCCGTCAAAGCCGTATTAGAGGGGAAAAGGGTTGTGGTTGTTGATGATTCTATTGTTAGGGGGACCACTTCGTCAAAGATTGTTAGATTGTTGAAGGAGGCAGGGGCTAAGGAGGTGCATATGAGGATTGCTAGCCCTCCGATCATAGCGTCCTGTTATTACGGGGTCGACACGCCGAGTTCAGAAGAGTTGATATCGAACCGGATGAGTGTGGATGAGATTAGGGCATATATCGGATCAGATTCACTGGCGTTTCTTTCGATAGATAGCTTGAAAAGGCATCTGGGGACTGATGACCAGAATTTCTGCTTTGCGTGCTTTTCTGGGAAGTACCCGGTCCTGCCAACGGGAAAGGTGAAGAGGGTTGGGGATTTTATGGATGATGGGTTGAGTGGAAACATGGGGTCTGTCGATGGAGGTTGGTTTCACAAAACTAAGATTCTGAACGAGGATGAAGGTGAGATAGCAACTGCCACATTTTAACTCATCAGTTTAAATAAATGATTCTGAACTTCTTCAAGGAGGGTGTTTGATGCTTTAATGGGATTCATTCTGCCAACATCACTACTGTGTTTGATATTGCTGCAACTATCGCAATTCAGTGTCACAGTGATGCTAGTTTACGGTGGTCCTAGTGGTTAGAAGTTGGAAGTAGAGATATCACTAATCAGATAACTCAGGATAGAACTGGTTGTTTAGAGGCTGTTCCACATTTGTTTTAACCCTTCCATCTGATTTGATTCATATTGCACTATAACCTTGTTTGATCACTTTTTGTTTAATACTAAGGTTTTAGATGTGTTTTTTTATTACGTCGTACTATAATCCGCCTTTATGACTATTGCTTGGAACCTGGATAATATGTGTATAAATGTACAAACTTACCAAGTATAAATGTGTCGGAATTTTATCAATCCTTAAAATCTAAGTTAAGTATCAATTTAGAACCAAAATGATGAAAAATGTTGATATATGACACTAATGATGGAAAATCTAAGACTTAAAATATCTGAATGTTATCTTTTGCTATTTTGATTTTTTTTTACTCTATTAAATTAATAAACTTTTGTGAATAAAAAAATATCAAAACATAGCAATAAAAAATGAAAGAAACCAAAATCTAGAGAAGCAGATGCTTACTTCTATAAAAGAAGCAGATGAGCTCTTGTAACCTACTAATCTCGGTTATTGCTTATGTGGCCTTATTTTAGCCAATCTTTTCTCTCTTACCACGTCAGCCGCCACATAGGTTTTAATTTTTCAAATTTTGACATGGCGGTAAAAAACAGAGATCGGCCGTGTTCTTCTACTAGGTTTTGGTAAAAGATGAATTTCGCAATTGGGACGACAATATTGAGATTGATTCTTCCCTTTTGCTGCTTGGGTTGGAATTTGCTTCGTTCATCTGAGTGTACTGACTGTGTAAGGAAATTAAGCTACTGTACTATCTTAAATTCGAAATCATTGGTCATGTTTAATTGGGAACGATTTTGGAAAAATTTGGTATATCTTTCTTTTTAGGTGAAAACAGTTTACTTAAAATTCGAATTTACATTTATATGTTTGGGTGGCTTGAGTATGTTGAATTTGTTTATTGTCTTGCAGAAAACAATTTTTTGCTGTTTGGTATGTGTATAGTGACTGATTCAAATATCGAATAGCGTACTACATGAAATCAGCATAAAATGTATTTGGCATTGTTTTTATTAGAATATTTTTGTAAGCCGATCTGAAAATACACTATGGTTTGGATATTCTGAGTTAGGGAAAATCAACATAAACATAAATGTTAACAGTATAGGGGAGTAACCGTTTGAAAAGCATACTTATCCAAGGTTTCAAACAATTGGCATGGGACTGAAATTTTGTATAGGTTATACCTTTTGGAAATGATTACTTTCTGAACTTACACTCATGTTTACTGAATTACTGGTTTGGCTTAAAACAACGGATAAGGGCTTAGGTGAGGCAATGTGCCGCTGGAGTTCAATGACCTTATATGACAACTTGACCATTTTAGTTGAGTTGGTATAGTTATCCTTATCATTTCAAAACAGATAATCACCATTAACATTTTATCATTTAAAAACAGGTAATCAAATAAACTGCTAGTGTGATTTTGGCTGAAATAATGCTTCAAAGTCCTTGGTTAAGTTGCTGAATCAAGTCAAATAAACTAACGTTTCAAATATTAACTTACAGTTTACAAGTTTACTGATACAATGAGTTCACAGTATTCTGAGGCAGTTTACCAACTTATATCTACCCTAAATATGCAGGGCTTAGTGAATGTGATCAATGACTTTTCTTTAATTCCGAGCATAGAAACTGTTGCAAACAATCCAACCATACATAGTATATGATAGTACTTGTGAACTGGAGTAAAAACATAAAGGAAAGGTGCTAAAGAAGCATTGAAGTCTTGAACCCACCCAAACGTATGATATCATAGTTTAAAGTTTAATGTAAAAAAGAAATGGCATTGAAGTCTACATGCAAAAGAAATGGTATTGGGGGTGTTGAGGTTTATTTATAATTAGTGCATTGGCTTTCCCATTTCATAAGGCATTGCAAAACTGAGACTCATAAGAGGGACACTACCAAGTAAGCCTCACGCAAACAGATCTATGCCCCAGATTTTCTCCAATTGATTGGTCCTAGAGTTTCTGTCTATGCTCTTGATCAGTTCCATGTCCTCTTCACTAAGATCAAACCCAAAAACATTTATATTTTCTTGAAGTCTTGCAAGATTTGACGACTTTGGTATCAGAACAGTGTTTCTCTGGATTCCCCAACGCAACACAACCTGAGCGACTGTTCTTTCATACTTCTCTGCTATGCCCTTTTACACATACACATGATAGTAGAAAACATAAATATCAATGCTTTGAAGATATAAGACTATTTAAAAGAAAGATGGTTTACTTTGAGGACGGGGTCTGTAAGGCACGACACTGAACCAAACAGTTCAGTGTTAGCCAGAGCACCACTGAGAGGCGTGTGGGCCGTAACGCAGATTCCGTGTTTTTGACAGAACTTGATCAGCGAATTGCGCTGGAAGTAGGGGGATGTCTCAATTTGGTTCACAGCAGGCTTGACCTTTGAATATGCTAAGCAATCGCGAGTAAGGAAAATATCATAGTTGCTGCACACAAGATTTGGCAATGCCATATGATCAAACTACATGCAAGCTACAGAGATTTGGTGTCAAATTGCAGTTGTACATTTTCTACTAGGGAATACACTTTTAAGAACTGAACTATTTTTCTTTTCAACACAAGTAGCTTTTGATTAACACTTGTTTATGTAGTTGGAACATATAGGTCCTAATGTTCCAGAAATGGAAGTTATACATCCTTCCTTTCTGAAAGTCGCAAATAATCAATATCAAATGGACGACAGGCAAGAGTCTGGTGAGAAATAACTTAATAACGTGTCGGGGGCGTCGATACAAGGTGTAGAGAAAAGCTCTTACAAACACAATTTAGATTGCTGGTCCAACACGGCAACACCAGTAACAACTACAATTCTACATTGTAAAGGTATTGCGCCTATAACAACATGTCAACATTAGGCCGAAATCCCCACTCTTTTACTAAAATATAATATTGCGTATTTTATTAACCCGTTTTGTGAAAAGTAAATGCTGCATCTGCGACCTCAATTGTAATTTTAAAAATCATGCTTACTGTGAAATGTTGTGTGGATCCATTTAAGAATCAATAAAAACTTTAATACATTCACATTACCATTGGCCTTTGATTTACATAGTAGGCTATTAGCAAACCATCAGGAAGGAGCCCATGACAATCCTATTTTGTGCACTTTGTTCTATTTAGGATTGTCATGACAATCCCATGACAATCCTATTTTAGTTCTATTTAAGAAATTTACTCATAATTTAAGTGTGTCAAAGGTTAATGCAACACATGTATGACTAATTGACACCTAGTATTATAGCGAATATAGGAAAGTTATATAGTTGAAAAGACCACAAAAAAAATACTTCCCCCGTCCCGAAAAGGTTCGCCAAATTGACTTTTCTTGATCAATAACAATCAACTTTGACCAATGATATTTTTTAATACAAAATGATTTTGAATATGAAAATTATTTCAAAATGTTCCTTTTCCAAAATATTTTCATAACAGAATAAAATTTATAAATTTTTCATAAATATAATAATTAAAATCATCGTCCAAAGTTTAACATCATTGACCAAGAAAAGTCAATATGACGAACCTTTTCGGGACGAAGGTAGTAGTTAATAGGGTAATAATGTCATATGGAAATTAGTTTGTTATTTTGTCATATATATTGTTATTAATTTACATGGACATCTCTAGTTTGAGATGTAGACAAGAATAAACTTACTCCGTATTATTCTATTTTAGCCAGTCGGCTTATTAACAGATTATGTTGTGAAGTGGTTAGTGTGATTAATAATTTGAGTACAATAATTATTCGCATCTTTATAGATCTGGGATAAGCTCGGTGCTTTAGTGTTTCGAGAACCATCTGAACAAATGTTAATATATCAAAAGTTTTGTTTTATTTATTTTTTTAATAAAAATGTATAAAACCGTTGATATCATATCATCACTTTGGTTCTTCTGGAGCTTAATTAATCCAAATTAAAGAAAAACTCAATATTAAGCACGGTATAGTCGCATAGAAACAATTCAAACAAATAACCAAGTAAAAAGCCATCAATATGGGGGGAAATTAAATGGTGTACACAATGTAGATTAGTTAATTAAAAAAAATTCTAAAATTTAAGTTTAATTGTTTAAATGTCTATGTTTCAAATAAAAAATGAATAGGCACATATATATACTACGTACTACGTAAGTAAACTAACAACATAAAAATGAATGATACTACGTATGTTTTTTAATGTATAGAAAAATCTTAAGCTAGAGAAAAAGGATTTGGAAATCTAATGGAATGACAAACTATTTTTCAGATCACAACGGACCCGTTACCCAATTAGTACTACGTATAACGTAACGAACAAAGTAATAATGCATCAAGTGAAGCATAAGACACAACTTTTTTAAGTTAGCATGTGTGCAATAAGAAAGTAAAATAAAACTTGCGTGGTTGAAATTTTGGAGATGGCTGAATAGAAATATGCCCAATAAAAAGTTGACAAAATCCAATTGAGGAAGTAACAATATAATAAGAAAGCTCATGAGTGACCTGAGTCCAATACTGCGAACCAAGCCCTTGAAAATAAGATCTTCCATGGCATGCCACGTAGCCTCCAAAGATATAGTGGTGTCTAGATCCATAACTCCATCCTCCCCCATCGGGATTGAGCTTATACCAACTCCTGTGCAATGAAACGAATTAATACATACCCTCTCCGTCATTAATGTACAGAAATTGCATAATATAGAATTAAAACATATACAAAGTTCAAAAATAGGACTAAGTATGTTTTATTCCCAAATAAGACTTATTTAGTTGTACTAAAAGAATAAGTTTGTTAAAATAAGAGTGAATTGGTCCTATTTTGGGAATTAAACAAAGAAAGTTCTATTTATGAACTGAATCTTTCTTTTAGTTCTATTTAGAGAATTTTCTCAATAATGTATTTCCCAGTTTGACTTCACTAGTTTGCTGTAAAACTACGTTTTAAATTGGCTTTCCAAATATATGTTTCCTTAAAAGTATGACAGAGAAAATGAATAAAAGAGTATTTCACCACTCAAATATTATTACTACCGTACTACGTATATGATACTAACTCGTATTAGAAGAAACAATGATTATATACTTCGTTTATCATAAACGGAGTATATAATCATACATTAGTAGTACGTGCACATATCCATGCATGTTGACCTGTATGTTTAGTGGCAACAGGGAAGTGAACAAGGTAAAGATCCAGGTAATCAAGACGTAGCTTTCTCATACTGTCTTTACAAGCCTCAAGAACATGACCATGGTCCGAGTTCAACAACTGCATGCATGGGCAAAATATCACTTGCAAATAACACCCGATCTCTTTTTAGATCAAACAGATTTGTTAGAAAATAGAAGAGGTTGTTAGTGTATGAATATGTTAAGTGATTTTAGTGAGGTGTAGTGTAGAGGAGGGCTATTATTCTAGAGTATTCTACAATTCTAGAGTATTCTACATCTATGTCTAATTACTCTAGATTTTACATAAGAATTCTCTAGTAGAGAATTTTCTAGAATACTTCTAGGTTTAACTCTCTAGATCATCTCTAGCCTTTTCTACGTAGAATATTCTAGATAAATGCATCACTATTTAATAAGATTGAATCTTACATTACTGGCACCCTCTATTTTTTGAAAAACATTATCCAACTCTTCTCATTTTAAATTTTCAAAATCCATATATTAAAATTTTACCTAATATATCGATTTAAATATATTAATTGCCAAAATTGTGTAAACATGAAAACCGAAGGGTTAAAATAAAAAAATAAAAAAAGAACGTCAGAGGTATATTCCGATGTATTAAAATATTTTAAAAGTGATATATAGCAAATTTTCACAAAAAATTCAGTTATTTAACTCATCAAAACGTCAAAAACTAATATCAAATATCAAATAAGTGACTATATTTCCAAATATCAATTATTTGATGATTTGATATTAGTTTTTGATGTCTTAAATGGCTGAATTTCTTGTAGAAAAGTGACTCTATTTTATTTTTGGTTTACATTCTCATAGTTGATATTATTAAAAGTTATTTCTAAAGTATATACTATTCTAGATTCATGGAAGATAATTGGTATTATTGAAGTTATTTTCCCAAAATTAAATAAAAGTAGTAGACAAAAATATGACCCTAGTAACTTTTTTTATCATGACCCTAGTAACTTTATTGTATAAGACTTATATTCACATTATCTTAGTATTCAAATGTTACGTTACATTATCTTAGTAACTATAAAACTTATACATGAGACTTATATTCACATTTTAATTTTGTCAATAGATCTTTTACTAATAATATTTTATGAAAAAACTTCTTCAATTCAAATGATGTTGTTAGACCAAACGAACCTTAGTTGTGACAAAAAGATCTTCCCTCTTGACTATTCCAGTACGAAGAGCCTCCTCGAGTGCCTCCCCTACCTCCGTTTCATTATCATATTCAGCTGTGCGTAGTCATGGATTACACCACTATTACTCGTATAATTTAGGTATAGGTAAACATTCTCTTGCTAAATTCTATTACCTCTGTTTCGGTGAATTTTGTCCAAAGCAGGTGAGAAATAAAAAAAAGTAAAAAATGTGTACGTAATTGAGGTTTGTGTAGAGGTGAGATAAATGAGCAGAATCACGAAATAGTTGCGGGCTTTAATATAAAAGTGACAGAGAGAGTATAATGTATAATCTACTACCTCCGTCGTCCCGAAAAGGTTCGTCATATTGACTTTTCTAGTTCAATAATTACAAATTTTGGACAATAATTTTAATTATTATATTTATATATAATTTATAGATTTTATACTTTTATGACAAATATTCATAATAAGGAACATTTTGATATAATTTTCACATTCAAAATAATTTTGTATTACAAAATATCATCGGTCAAAGTTGATCTTCATTGACCAAGAAAAGCCAATTTGGCGATCCTTTTTCAGGACGAAGGGAGTATCATATTATATTGTTCGGTATTGGTCAAGCCATGGAGTGTAGTCTCAAAGGGTCAAATGAGGAGTTTTGAGTGTGGAAAGTACTTACGGAGTATTTAATTAGTCATACAAAACTTGATCAAATGTGATGAAATGCATGTTTCTGTGGAAAGTAATATCATCCCAAGACAATAAAAGAATTTACTAAGAAAATGTACTTATTATCTACCTTTTAAACCTTTGACTAGCTACTAAAACAATATTCATAAAATATAAAACTCAAAACTTTCATACAAATATACTCAATCCTTCTCATATAACTTCATGAACTTTTCTTATTCAAGAAACCTTTCCTACTCTACATAAATAACTCCTACCTCCAGCCGGATTTAAAGTTCCGGCTTAATATATAATCCAGCCGGATTTAAAGTTCCGGCTTAATATATAATTGTGATGTTACAATTAAATTGTGATTTAAAAGTGTTAATTGTTTTTAAGAAAATAATTGATAACTTGTATATATATAAACAGTGGCGGACCGAACATGGGGGCAAATGGGGGCTGTTGTCCCCCCAAAATTTTAATTTACTAGGTATATTTACCCCAAAATTTTAATATATATGTATTTGTATGTATATTTTAACCCTGCCGCCCCTCCAAACCAGAATTCCTGCGTCCGCCGCTGTATATAAATACGTGTTCAAAAGTGGGAATTGAGAACATTTCCAAAGAGTACGTATATAGGAATTACCTGCGCAGTCAAAGTGACGATAACCAGGGACGGATCCAGGATTCTGAGTCAAGGGGGGCGAAATTTTTCGTTAGTGTAGGGGGTGAATTTTTTTTGTTAGTGTAGCGGGGTGAAATTTTTTTCCCTAGTATAGCGGAGCGAAATTTTTTCGCTACTGTAGGGCTATGCGGCTATTTTTATTCAAAAAATGACATTAATACATGCACATCCCGAACGACATTTAAATCTATTACATTCTAAGTTTAGACGATGACAAAGACATCAACCAATACATTTTCAATAACTTTTACATTGTTTAACCTCATGAATCGGTTATTGAAGTGTAATTTTTGTCAATCAAGGAGAGTGTTGGTGAGTCATGACTCATGAGAA